CCCCCCCCCCCATATGATAAATTTGACTCTGGCGAGATTAATTTGGTTACTGTACACAACTGCATTAGCGAGCCGAGACGCTGCTGGGCCCGGGCCGCGTGTTATCACCCGGCTGCGTGATGGGCGCTGGAGGTTTGTCCTTCTGGTGTCCCTGAAGCTCTCTGTCATCATCACCGGCACCGGCCAGGCCAGGGGATTGGCGAGAGAGCCCAGCCCTCTTCTCTCCTTCACCCTTCTTTGGCTAGCGCTTCCCCGACTCTCCACTTCCTCTTTCGGATTCCCTCTCTGAGCCTCCTGGCTCTGAACGGGTCGAACCTTCGCGCCCTCTCCCCTTTACCCATTCCCTCCTTTCCTCCTCCTTACAAGCCTGTCTTCGGCTCCCTTCCCTCTTCACTCATCTTTTGTGTGCCTTCTCTTGTTCGAAAAGAATTCGTAGGGGTTCCCCCTCCACCAGTCTCCCCCTCCCCCTTCTCCTCTCGCGTTTCTTTTGAAAACCTTCTGGCAGGAAAATAGCCCGGGAGCCAACAAGTCTGGGGGAAGACAGGATGGAGTCACAGCCTGGACTTGAGTGATGCCTCCTAACAGCATGGGGGCCGATGGGGAAGGACCACTGATGGAGCTTTTGAATATCCATAGGTCCGGTGCTGACCCACCGAAGGTCGCCGCCGGCCCCGTCCATTGGAGGAGGAGGGCCGGGTGATGTCTCACGCAGCGTTGAATTCAGCATCCCCCTCCCCAATCCCACTCCTGCTTGGTTCTCATCCCGAAACAAAAGCTAGGGGTAGGAGAGACTCCCAGAAGCACCCCCTGTTCCTCTGGGTACTGTATCCTCGGGTCCTCAGTTCCCCTCCCTCCTACCCTGTCCCTTTCTCCTTTGCAGATGTCCCAAGGCAACCCCAGCCTCGGAAGCCTGCTGAGCATCAAAACCGAGGCAGAAGGGGGCACCACCGGAGAATCCTCTCCGTACCTGGGCAAGGCTGTGAAGAGCCTGGTTCAGGAGAAGTTGTCTGAGCCCTGGAAGGCATACCTGCGCAGGTATGGGGGGAGGGGCAGAGGAGGACAGAGAGGCAATGCCATGGGCCAGCACAGCAGACTCCTTAGCAAAGTGGTGAAAAGTAGCTTCGTGGCGCGGCATTTTGGCCGGAGAACCCCAGATGGAGGTCAAAGCCACTTGGCACCATTTCCTACAGTCTATCTATCTGCCTTGGGGAGCAAGGGACCACGTGGCCCAGCAGATAGAGTGCTAGACCCGGAGTCAGCATGACCCGAATTCAAATGCTGACTCCAGCACTTACTAGCTGTGTAGCCCTGGGCAGGTCACTTCCCCTCAGAATCAGCCTGAAATAAAAGCACCTCTTTTGGAGTATTGTAGTGAGGATTGAATCAGATAATCTGTGTAAAACCTTACAGAATTCTACAGTACTGGCTATTATTGTTGCTGCTTCCATGGTTATGGATTGAGCCCGGGGCCCCACTGGAAATGCAGAGGAAGGCAGTGTTCCTGGGGTCTCGGGAGGATTTTCCTGAAGGGAAAAGGAACAAGCACTCAGATAGCAACTCAGATACAACCCCATCCACTGCGTGGGTCTGGACTCTGTCTTCCTTCTGCTGAGCCTGCCGTCACTAGACTGGGAAACCCTGCCAGCTCAGTTCAACATCACGCACTTATAGAGCTCCTGCTGTATGCCAGGCCTTGTGTTAGACACTGAAATAAACTGACCCTGCCTTCAAGGAGCCTATGTTCTACCCAAAGAATAAGGGGAACAGGGAAGGGAATATGCGTGCGCGCGTGTGTGTGTGTAATATATTCCATATGACCTTCATATATGTGCATATACACGTCCGTACATGTACACATATACATATTCGTATGTGTACTGTACGTACACACATGTGCTATGTGTGATGTGTGTGCATATGGCTATAGCGTGTTCATATATGTGCATGTGTACACGTGTGTGTATGTGCACATGTACACATGTGTGCGTGTGTGTGTGTATACCACACACACACACACATCGCCTACTATGGCCAGGCATTATGCTAAGCACCTTACAAATATCCCATTTAATCCTCACAGCAACACAGTGAGGTAGGTGCTGTTATTGTCCCCATATTACAGTAGAGGAAACTGAGGTAGACAGAGGTAAAATGATTTGCTTGGGATCACACGGCTAGTAAATGTTTGAGGCTGGATTTGAACTCAGGTCTTCCTGACTCCAGGCCCAGCGCTCTATCTGCTCTTCTGCCTAGCTAGAAAGAAAGCTTTAAGGATTAGTTCAAGGAAAATGGTCCCTGGGCACACTTGAACCACCCATATTTTCATTCATAAACAAGAAAGCAAGCATCTGTTAAGCACCTACTATATGCAAAGCACCATACAAGGTACCAGTAGTCCCTGTCCTCCAGACACTTACATTCTGCTGAGGGGAAACAACATACAAGCTGATCAGAAGAGGCAACTCGTGTTCAGAGTCATTATAGCAAGGCATCGTGGGATAGGACGTGGAAGGCAGATCTCATAGTTAAGCCCTGGGCTGAGTCCAGCCTTTGGTACCTCTCAGCTGGTGACGCTGAGGACTTGACCTCTCAGTGCGCCAGGAGGAGAGAGTTTTCCCCCTGGGAGTCCCCTACAATCTCAGTACCACTCGGTACAAAGTACTCTGAGGGGATGGAGGGCGGGGCCCTGGAGGCCAAGTGTGCCAGCTGCTTGGGCACAGAGACGGCCCTGGCCAAGGTTTCTTTCCAGGATGTCAGGCGGAGCTTCAGGCTCTAATCTTGGGTCTCCCTGTCTTGGCCAGGTTCGGCACCAAGGATTTCTGCGATGCCCAGTGTGATTTCTTGCACAAAGTTCACTTCCACTGCGTGGTAGAAGAGTGTGGCGCCCTGTTCAGCACCCTGGACGGGGCCATCAAACATGCCAAGTGAGTGTGGAGCTCTGGTGACCCTCAAGTCCTGTGGGGCCCTCGGTTCCCCCTCCCCCACAATACTTGTAAAACACAGAGAATCACTGAGGTCGGCCTTTGAAAAGATGTCCCGTTGAATGCTTTGTGTCCCACTGAAAGGCAGTCCATTTATAGTGCAGTCTCTCCTCTATTTGCCCACCTTCCTGACCTGCAGGAGAATGAGTGAATGAGGTGCAGTCATTGTCAGGCACCTTCAGAATACTGCAAGGCTCGAGGGGAGTGGAAAGCATCCTCTTCTCCAGCTAGTAGTCTCTCCAAGGCACTGTCTGGCCTTCCTCCGTCCATAGGCCCTTCTTAGGCCCCCGAAGCCATATCTCTGTGCCCCATATCATATCCCCAAACTCTGGCATCAGCCAAGAAGCCCAGTGTCTCCATCAGGGACAGGCTTATTGTTGGGGAAAGGGGGGAGCTAAGCTGGAAAGGTTGTATTTAGACTCCTGCAAGTTAATACCATGCAAGTATGCTCACTGTCAGAACATGGTCCATCTTCAGGGCAACAGATGGGGCCAGCCTAAGCTTGATTTAGGGCTTCAAATACTGTGAAAATAATATTTTAATTATATTTGCTGACTTAGAGATTTAATTAAATTCATTTCTGAATTTATTGAAGTTCAAAAAAAAATTCCAGTGATGCTATTTTATCCACTTACTGGACTTATTGGATAAGTTTTTATGTTATGGATAAACTGATAATATTGATAAAATAGCAAGTAAATTTCTATTTTTTTAATGAGATCTTCATTTTGGAATTTACCCCTCTCTGTCTTTCTCTACCCCAACAGCCATCCCTTGTAATAAAATAAAAAAAGAAAAGGGAAGGGGGGAGGCAAAAGCTGTTGAGGAAAACTAAGTCACACATCAGCTGAGTCTGATAGCATGTGCAGTACTCCACATCCATAGTCCCCCACTTCAGCATTGAAGGGAGTGTGTTGCCTTTTGGGGGACAACCTTAGTCATTGTATTAATTGATCATTTTTTTTTAACTTTTAAAAGAAGTCATCACTGGCTTTTAAGCCTTGAATCAAACTGTCATGTCAACCTTTGGGAGGGTCTAGTTTCCCGGTTTGCCAATGGCAAATTTGAATTCATTACACCTTTTATCCAATCAGCATTTATTGCCCAATGGGCATTTATTCATCACAGCCTGCTGAACCCTAGAACATAGTAACCCCAGAGAGGCTTTGGGAGGCTAGTCCTAACTACCTCTCTGCCTCAGAATCACTGCTACCCCTAAGACATGGAAGGGGCCTTGCCAAAGAAGGCCTAATGCAAGAATGCCCAGATTTTGGAATCCTCCCCCACCCCACGCCACCCCCTGCAAAATCTGACCAGTCCCAGGCCTGAACACAGAGCAAGTTGGGAACAAGTCCAAGAACAAGGCCATTTTCCCTCTAATTAGGTAGCTGGGTGGTAAAATGAACAGAGCAGGACCTAGGGTCAGGAAGACCTGAGGCATCCCTCCCCCTCTCTCTCAGTCTTAGTTTTCTCATCTGTAAAATGGGGCTAATAAGAGCTCCTGTTTCCAAAAATGTTGTGAAGATCAAATGAGTTAAGGTATGTCAGTGTGAACATTATTATGGTTTCACCCAGGCCATCCCAGAAAAACCCAATGCCCTCTATGGTGCCGTGAGCTGGGTGCTCAGGGAGCATCGAGGTGGGGTAGGGAGAGAACAGAGAGGGACCCCTCTAGTCTGACCTTCAGCTAGGGCTCCATGACAGCCTACAGGTGGAGGTCTTAGTGGGGGAGCAGGGATATCGAAGGCCCACACTTGGAGGAGAAGCAGGGCTCCAGGACAAAGCAGAAAGAGGCCTGGGTTTGGAGGCAGCATCCAGTGATCCAGCCCCACCACTCCCTCAGTGTGATTGGGGGCAGGACCTATCTGTGCCTCAGTTTCCTCCTCTGTCTAGTGGCGGGGAGGGGGTCCCGGGATCCTAGCTGTGGAGCTCCAGCCCAGTGCATTGCAGGTTTACAACGCCTCCCCAGGCCCCAGCCTTCTCACCTGAGCAGCCCCTTCTCCGTTTGTAGTTTCCACTTCCGAACGGAGGGAGGAGGAGTGGTAAAAGGAAACACGGAAGCTTCCTTCCCAAACACAGCGGCTGAGACCAAGCCTTCGCTAGCCCCGTCTTCGCCTCCGGCACCCTCTGTCACCACTGCAGCGGCAGCGGCGACCGCTTCCAGCCTGGAGGTGCCCACTGCCAGCCCGGCCACCATGCCCTCTGCCCCGACCCTCCTGGCCTGGAAGCAGCTGGCTTCCACCATCCCTCAGATCCCTCAGATGCCTCAGATTCCTTCGTCGGTGCCGGGGATGGCTGCTTCGCCCTTGGCCACGACTTCTCTAGAAAACGCCAAGCCCCAAGTCAAACCCGGATTCCTCCAGTTCCAGGAGAAGTGAGTCCTTCGGATGAACGGGGAGGGGTAGCCAGGTGGTCCCGGTCCGCCCCGAGACCCCCAAGGTTTCCCCTTCAGTCAAGCAAGGCCCTGTCTGTGTCGGGCTTCGCCATGGGCTAGTCAGTCAAGGTTTTTCCCTTGCAAAGATGCTGCTGCTAACACCCTTACCTCCTGTTTCAGCTTCCCATCGGAAGCAGGACTCCTGTAGCAGGGTGGTTTGGTGGGGCGGGCTCGCACTGCCCCGCTCCCCCAGTGGCCTCAGGGCCGCTGCCGAGCCTAGCTGGGGACCGTTCCTGGTGCCTTGGACAGATTTGGGCTGGAGGCAGCAGGAATCCAAGGGATCGCGGTGCTGAGGGACTCCTGCCTCCACCCAACGGGGAAGATTCCAGTCCCCCTTTTCAGGAATCTCTCACTCCCTGGGCCACAGTTTCCTCCCCTGTTCATGGGGTGGGTTGGACTGGAAGGCCTCTGGGGTCCCTTCCAGCCCGAGGAAACTGGGAGCCTCTACTGCTCCAGCCCATGTGATAGGACCAGTCTCTCAGGCCCCTTGAAGCCATGGGACTCAGTTTCCCCAACAGCCAGGCTTTCTTGGAGGGGGTGGGTGCAGGGAGGGGCGCCCTATTGCCACCTTCCTGGCAGGCAACCTTCTATAGGTTGGTTCAGGGCCATGGGGGAGGGGCTGGAATTGGGGGGCGGGGGGAGGGGCCCTCTTCCTGGGCAGTGGTGGGGGCAAGAAGGGTGACTGTATTTGGACCTCTGCACCGCAGCTTCCTGTTCTCAATAAAACTAATAAATTGGAAGTAAACACACACCACCTGCGTTAAAGCTGTCCTCCCTCTCTGAGAGCTCCCTGGGAGTTGGGTCTGCAGCAAGAAACCAGGGCAGTCACCCTTCCCTTCAACCCCATGGTAGTTTCCAAAATGTCCCTTAGTCTTGGATGGAATTCCTGCCCACTCAGCTGTCTTCCCAGAAGCCAGTAGCACACTGGGAAGAGTACTGTACTTGGGAACATAGGACCTGAGTTCAAATCTTGGCCTTCCCACTTACTGCCTCTCTGGGCCTCAGTTTCCTCATCCATAAAATGAAGGCATTTCAGGTGACCTCTGAGGTCCTTTCTAGTTCTGTTATCTGGGATCCATGAGAAAACCTCAGCTTTAATCTGTCAGAAGAGAAGGCTGGCACCTCCCTGGATTTCGCCAGTTATTCACACCCCCTCCCAGACCTCAGAACTCACCCTTTTATGGGACACAGCTACTTGGGGAGTGTCTGTTCCCAAGATGACAAGATGGTGGTAGACAAAAGGCGGGGGAGGATGGGTACGAGGCTCCCAACAACCCAACAGAGGTCACTGGGTGACAGGGTTGCACTGGGGAGGGGGGTATACATGAGGTGGTGGGACCGTCTTTGGGGGGCAGACACCAACAGGGAACCTTTGCAGGGTTCCAGAAACCAAATAGATATCTCCCAGGGCCACCTACGCATAGGGGAGCTCCCGGGAACAGCCCTGCCCCTCCAGCTGTATTCAGTCAGATGTAGGGCAGTGCCCACATGGTGCCAACTAGGCCCTCAGAGGCATCCTGCCAAGGATTGGCGGGGCCTAGCCCTGATTTTCATACCCGGGAAACTGATTGCAGTCGTCCTTATCTCTAAACCCAAGGTGTGGTCCGTGGAGCCTCTGTGTCCCAGCATGCAATGCTCTGGGCACCCCTCAGTGTGCTCAGCGGGCCTGCTCCATGCCACGTTTGAATCATGATAGGGCCAGACATGCCAGGACATGGTGTTGGCACCTCCCCGGGAAGCATGAGGGTGGCCCTGGGGGGCAGCCCCAGCTGTGGCTGTGGGATGGAGACACCTGCCCCTCCCCTTCCACCTGGGGAGCCAGCCTCGGGAACCCCAAAGAGCTTGGGGGTGGAACCCCAAGGACGGCAGTGACCCTGTGGGTTGTCACTCTGTTCCAGCGACCCCTGCCTCGCGAACGACTGCAAATACGCCAACAAGTTCCACTTCCACTGTCTTTTCGGAAACTGCAAGTACGTCTGTAAGACCTCCGGCAAGGCCGAATCGCACTGCCTGGACCACATCAATCCCAGCAACAACCTGGTGAATGTGCGAGACCAGTTCGCTTACTATTCGCTGCAGTGTCTCTGTCCAAACCAGGTAAGACCGCTGGCCACTGGCCCAGGGGAGTGGGCTGAGGGAGTCCTCAGGGGGGCTGGGGCAGCCAAGTGAGGAGTGGTGAGACATCAAACGATTCAAGCCAGACAAATGTGCATTAACTGAGTGCCTGCTGTATACGAGGCCCTCTATGCCAGTCTAGATGCTGAGGATGCAAAGACAAAAAAGGAGAAACAGCTTCTGCCCTCAAACTCACAGTCTACGTGGTGGGGGTGCAGGGAGGGGTACCGTTCTTGACTGGGGGGCTATGAACTTTTTTCATTGTTTTTAATATTTTAATAACTGTATTTTTTAATATATTTTTGTGATCCTATCTATTTCATTTTATGCTTTTAAATATATGATTCTGGGAAGGGGCCCATGGACTTCACCATGGGTCCAGGACCCAGAAAAGGTTAAGAACTCCTGATGAAGACATATGAGAAAATACGAGATAATTTGAGGAAAGAAAGAGCATTAACAAGCAGGAGTAGGATGGGGAAGGGGGGGCAATCAGGAAGGGCTTCCTGTAGGAGATGGCCCCAAGCTGAGATTTGAAGGAAGCCAAGGATCCTCAGATGTGGGGGTGAGGAGGGAGAGCCTTCCAGGCACAAGGGACAGTCTGCGCTGGCCATCGATGGCCAATATACCATCTTCCCAAGGGGAGATGGTAGAGGATCCCTTTCTTGCTTCATCTCAAATGGGTTCTAAGATCCTAGATGGGAAGAGATATCAGTGGCCAGTTAGTCAGCCCCCTGCCCCTTCATTGACTAATGTGTGATGAAGTCCCCGGACTCATGAATTCATAGACTTAGCCCTACTGTGGACCTTAGACAACATCTAGTTCAAGTCACCTGTTTTACATATGAGAAAACTGAGCCCCAGAGAAAGGGGTACAGTTTGACCAAATAGCAAAGCCAGACTTCCAAGCCAGCTCCTCTGACCCCAAAACCACAGTTCAGTTAGTTAGGCCACATGCCTCTCTGTCCAGCCATTGCCTTCCAACACTGGAACTAGCCTGTGTACCTCGTTCACTCACTAGGCGCCATGTTAAGAATCAGAAATTGAGATGATGGGGAGATGCGTGTTGAAAGTTCTCACCTTTTTGGTTGAACCAAAGCATGCAGAAAATGGAGAGGCACTGTGGGGTCATTAGTCAGTCAATCAACTGGCATTTACCAAGCAGGTACCTACTATGTGCCAGGTATACTGTGCGAGGCTCTGGGAATACAAAGACAAGTGAAACAATCCGTGTCAAAGCACTGACGTTGGCCATAGGAGGATTGCTGGGTTAGAATTCTGACTGTGTCGCTTGTGACTTGTGTGACCTTAGGCTAATTACTAAGCCTCTCTGGGCCTCCCTTTCCTCATCTTTAAAATAAGGGATTAGATGGCCCCAGAGATCCGTGTGATCTATAAATATACCTCTTTGGCCAACAGAGGCAATGTGGCCTAGTGGGAATGGCCCGCTGGACCCTGGATTCACATCCCACCTCTACCCTCGTAGCTCTGAGCCCCCTCCCTCTCTCTGCTCCCTCCCCCACAGCACTGTGAATTCCGGATGCGAGGCCACTACCATTGCCTCCGGCCCGGCTGCTACTTCGTGACCAACATCACAACCAAGTTGCCCTGGCATATAAAGAAACACGAGAAGGCCGAGCGCCGGGCAGCTAACGGGTTCAAGTATTTCACCAAGCGCGAGGAGTGCGGGAGGCTAGGTAATTCATGGGCCGGTCAAGGGCGTCTTCCAGCCCCTTTGGGGTGGGGCCTCAGCCTGAGAACCTGGTATCTGCTTCCTGGAGGCCTTCTTGGCTTTCGTCCCCAGCTTGACCAAGTCCCGTCAATGTTAGGCTCTCGAATTCACCCAGTTTCCATCCACTTTGGGTTTTTTGTTTTTTTTCTCCCTGAGGAACTTTCTTTTCAGCATCCTTTTTTTTTAATTGAATTCCAAATTCTCTCCCAACCCATTGAGAAGGCAAGCAGTACGTCGCATTATATATATTTCATCCACTTTGAATTTGAGGTTTAGTTAGGGATGCCATCAAAAGCCAGTGGGCGTCCCAGGCCTCAGCAGAGCCCCCAGGGGTCTTTGGGCATTCATGCTCCCCAGGAAGCCTGCTCAAGGCTCAGTTGATGACTCCAGTGGTCATTCTGTCTCTGCCGGGCTTCAGCAGGTGCCTCTGGATTAAATCCTGCTTCTTGAAGCCAGGGGCTCAAAAAGGGGAGCCTTCTGGGCCTTGGGGTCCCTTAATTGATAGTGTTTGCAGTTCTGCTCTTGGGCCCCAGTTTCCTCATCTGTAAAATGAGGAGGCTGAGTTAGAATCTCAAGTCCCTTCCAGTTCTAAGGCATAAAGATCCTGCTTCTCTGATCTAATAAACCCAGATGACCCTTAAAGGTCATCTAATCCCCCTCTCCTCCCCCGTTTTTACAGAGGGGGAAGCTGAGCCCAAGAGAAGAAGAGACACTTGCCTCTGGGCCCACAGGATAGGGAGCAGAGCCAGAGTCTGAAATCCTCTTTTTTTGCTCCTTGGAGTTTGGAAATTCTGGGGGGTGCCTTTGCGTCTTCAGCAGATGGTGTAGAATGGTACCCAGTGGGACTGATGCTGAAGAGAGCAGACAGGGAAGGCAAGCAGCCCCTCCCTCCTGGCCCCCGGGCAGTGTAGGAGTGGACGGGGGATGGCTGGAAGGAGCCCACGGCTCTGTACCCAGGAAGCCAACGTAGACACCCCAGGCAGAGAGCCTTGGAAAGAGCAGCGCCCAGGAGGCTTCTCCCCCTACCTCTTGCTGTAGGGAAGGTTGTCCTGAGGGACAGGGCTTCCAGTCAGAGGCCCTGACTTAAGGAGGTTTTGTCCCCCTTCCTGGATGCTCCAAGGCAAAAGGAAAAAAAACACTCAAAAAGGCAACTTTGGGAAAAGGAAGCTCTTCTCTCCTCCCACCTCCAACTGCCACCATCCCCACTTGAGAAGGCTTCCCGCTGGGGATGTGGCTCGTAACCACGGCAACAGATGTCAACACACAGTGGCCAGCAGGCCCCATACCTGGGCTCGGTTTACAAGTGTCAGGATTTCCCGAGTATTTACTCAACTTTGGGTGTTTCAGGTGCTAGCGGGGGCCAAACAAAGCCCCTCCATGATACCCGACACCCAGCCTGGCCCTGCCGCCATGGCAACAGGCAAGCCTTCACCTGCCCTCCACCGACACTGTTTCCATCCAGCCTTCTCTGTTTGTTCTTAATTCCAAAGAACGGCACAAGCGGATGGGGAAAGAGGGAGGGGCGTGCAGCCGTCTAAACAAACACAGTCTGGCAGAGAGACAGGCTCCCTCCTGGGGAAGTCTGGGAGCAGGTGGTGGAGCTAGGGGAGATGGCTCCTTTGAGGGGAGCGGCTCCCGTCACTGTCAGTGGCCTCCAAGCCCCTGGCCCTCCGTGACTGATTGTGTCGGGACCGGAGATGACAATGGTTTTTGTTAGATCACAGACTTCAGAGGAGAAAGGGACTTGAGAAGCCACCTAGGCCACAGATGAGGGAACAGGCCCAGGGAGCTGGAATGTGAAGCCAGGATCTCTTGTCCCAAATCCAGTGTCCTTCCCATCATACCCCTGTGGGCCCGTTAGAAATGCTTGCTACTGCTTCCCTTGTGAGGTCGAAGTGGAGGTCGGGGTAGTGCCCTTGGGGTGACCCCCTCTCACAGGCCAGCTAAGCTGGAGGCCTGGCCTGGAGCCCCACCCCAACCTCAGCAGGCTCTGGACCCCTTGGCCAAGGCTCACAGCCCTCAGGTGGGTGGGATAGCACCCCTGGGTGAGGTTGGTGTGGAGGTGGGGGTAGCGCCCTTGGGGTGACCTGCTTATGCCTCCTCCCAGGTCCCAGAGGCCAGCTAAGCTGGAGGCCTGGCCTGGAGCCCCCCTCCCCACCTCAGCAGGCTCTGGACCCCTTGGCCAAGGCTCACAGCCCCTCGGGTGGGCACCCCTGGGTGAGGTTGGAGTGGAGGTCGGGGTAGCGCCCTTGGGGTGACCCACTCTCACAAGTCACCTAAGTTGGAGGCCTGGCCTGGAGCCCCCCCCCCCACCTTAGCAGGCTCTGGACCCCTTGGCCAAGGCTCACAGCCCTTGGGTGGGTGGGGTGTGTTCACAGGCTGCAAGTACAACCAGGTCAACAGTCATTTCCACTGTATCCGAGAGGGCTGCCAGTTTTCCTTCTTGCTGAAACACCAGATGACGTCCCATGCCCGGAAGCACATGCGGAGGATGCTGGGGAAGAACTTTGACCGAGTTCCTACTCAGGTGAGCAGAGAGAAGGCAGACTGAGCTGAGGCGGGCATCTCCTCCCCCACTCTGGCGCTGGGGGCCATGCTTCATGCCGACAGGACCTGCACCCCCCCCCCGGGAGCCAACGTCCTCCCTCTCCTTTCCAGGTGATGGGACACCCCGCCAGGAACGAAAGCCTCTCCCATGTGGGCAGCATGGCCCCCAGCCCAGCTTCATCAGGGACCCCCGCTTCATTTCAGGGACCTCCGAGCCTGATGGACACTGAGACAGATGAGTACATGGATTACACAGGCTGCAGCCCCGGGGCGCTCTCCTCTGAATCCTCCAACATGGACCGAAGCTGCTCCAGCACCCCGGTGGGCAATGAGAGCACCTCCGCAGGTAAGTGGACGTTCCTGGGGAGTCGCCTCCAGGGCCGAGGCCTGCAGCCCGTGCCCAGCACACTGGTCCTCCTGGGGCCACTGCGTGCTCCAGCACCATTCTCCCCACCCCACCCCACTCCGACTCCCTCTATCCTGAAAGAGAAAGAAGGTTCTCGCAGCTTTAGGTGTTACACAATTAGAAGGGGTCTTGGTGGGGAGAAAGCGGGGTCATGTCTTCCAGCCCCTTAACTTTACACGTGAGGAAGCCGAGGCCCAGAGAGCCTAAGCTGAAGAGCTGGAAGGCACCTTCGGAGTCATCTAGTCTCACCCCCCAACTTAATGAGTAAGGAAACTGAGGCCCAGAGAGACTAGTGACTTACCCAAGTAATGAGTGGCAGATTCAGGATTTGAACTAAGATCTTCTCATCCTAAATCCTGTGCTCTTTAAACTGGGGGTCAAAAAAAAAAACCCAGGAAGAAGACACAGAAAATGAGGCAGCCAGTCAGCCACGGCCCCCATCATTCAGGCAAACAGGTTATGGCACATAAGCAGTGGCCTTCAGCGGCCCTCCATTCGAGTCCACACACAAAGGGAACGCCCTCTAAAGAACAGCCACCAAGCAGTCACGCAGGGCCCCCTGGGAAGGCTTCCCCAAGAGGAGCAGCCCGCCATCTGTCCCCTTCCACATCTGGACGGCACACATCACTACCTGAAGTCCAGCCTTGCTGGGCCTCCTTGTGACTCCGTGGCCACCCTCTTCCCCATCTGCCAGACTCCCTGAACATGAGTTTCACTTTTCCACTTCTAGAAGAGGGAATCTCTGCCTTCCCTCGGCACAAACCACATCGATCGAGAGTGCAGCATGAAAGTCAAACCTGCCCCCCCCCCCCCCCCCCCCCAACCCCCCCCCGCGGGGGGGGCCGCAAAAAAGCAAACCCCCCCCCCCCCCCCCCAGCCCGGGCTGAGACCAGTAGGGAGGGCCCTGGGAGCAGGCTTCCAGCCTCGGCCCACGGAGGAACAAGGAAAGCTGAGATTTGACTGTGAATCTGACCACCTTCCTCACTCCCGATGAGAAAAATGGGAACCCTCCCCCCTCCTCCCCAGCAGATGGATGGAGGTCAAAGCCGCCCTTCTTTAGGGATGGGGCATCACCCCGTACACAGATAAGGAAGCACACACATAAGGTTCGCAGACCCAGAGCCAGAAGAGGCTTGGAAGCCACTGAGCGCAGACCCCCTCCTTACGAATCAGAAAACTGAGGTCAAAGATGACATGTGAGTCCAAAGGCACGCAGCTTTATTCCTAAAGGACTAAATTTTCTAGGGGGAGAAACTGAGGCGAAGAGGGTTAAGTAAGTCAACTACATAGACTTTAGCAAGCACCTAGGCCAAACCTCTCACTTTATGAATAAGGACAACTGAGGCAAAAGGGGGTGGGGGGTGAGGCAACTTGCCCACAGGGAGTCAGGGTCTGAGGCAGGATTTGAACCCAGGTCTCACCCTGGCTCCAGATCTAGTGCCCAGTCTCCGATGCTACACTGCCTTCTTACTTCTCTTTCTTGTCCAGAGGTTCTTAATCTGGGTTCTTGCGGATAGATTTCACTGGAGTCCATGAACTTGAATGGGGGTGGGGAACCTATTTTGATAAATTTATTTTAGTAGAGTCAGTTTTCTTCGTAATCCTCTGTATTTTATGTTATGCATTTGAAAACATTCTTCTGAGAAGGGGTTCCCTGCCTTAAGAAGCAGGGGTTCCAGGGAGCCGATGCCCTGGGCTGCAAAGTGTCAGGATCCAGGCCAGGAGGGCCCCGAGTCTGTTTCATTATCCAACTGGCCCCCAAGGGAGCAGACCGCAGGGGACCTGACCCAGGCCCGCTGGCCCTGGGCGAGGACTTGAGCCCTTCCCCCTCCTCCTGCTCCTGCCTCCCCCTCCCCCTCCCCTCCTGTCACCCGCCTTCATCTCCTGTCCATCACAGCTCCGTTTTTTACCTCTGAACACATTTTCTCCATTTTCATCGTACTTGCTTCTGCCGTTGGGTTTCTCATTTGGGTTCTTTTGTTTGTGTTTGTTTGTCCGTCCTTTGTTTCCGTTCTGTTTGGTTCTTTTTTTTTTTTCTGTTTTTCTTTTTTTGTTTTTTTGGTTGTTGTTTTTTTTTTTTTTTCTGCTCTTCTCCGCCCTCTCCAGGCTGCCTGGCTGCTGCCGCTCCTGCTGCCGCTGCCGACGAGGCCGCCGCCCCCCACGCGGCCCCCCAGCCTCCACTGCCTCCATCCTTCTCACAGGGCCTGCTCAGGTCACCCCTCCCCTCCCTCCCATACCTCCTCTCTCCGTCTTGTCTCTCATATTCTCTGCTCAGTGCCACCCTTGGAACCAGCCGGGCCATTGTCCTGCCCGCCACCAGCACGCCCGGCTTTCCGTCTGTCCTTGCCACTCCACCTCCAGTCAAAAGTGACATCCCCATAGTGCAGGACGCTGCAGGTAACTCTCCCCAACTTTCTTGCCGAGTGCCATCCCCCCTGCACCCCCACCCCCACCCCCAGCCAACATTCAGTTGGAGAAGACAGCGCATAAAGGGGAGCTAGAAAGGTGGGGTGCGAGTGAGAGCCTTCCCTTTATTAACACTCACTAAATGCCAAGCTCTGTGCTAAGGAAGGGGAGAAACTGCCCCTGCCCTCAGGGATCTTCCATTCTAAGAAAGGACGCAACATGGAGAGAACTAGAGTCATATGTGATATTGACAGTAAGAAGTAATCTTAGTAAAGGCCTCCTGCTTCAGGTGGGAATGACCTGATCATTTCCAGGACAATCACAGGCAAGAGCAAACCAGGGACCTTTTAGGGACTTCAACTCTTCTTCATCGCCCCCATCTGACTGCCTAAATTCCTTCTGGCCACTGGGGAGACACAGCCCTGCCACTCTCCCCCCACCTCGGTAGGGGCAAGAGATAAACTTGGTGAGTGAGGATGGGGTCTGCTCAGCAAGGTCCCATAGTGGATCTGCCCTAACTCAGCCCAGCCCAAAGGCCCCTTGGAGGCAGTGTCCCTACAAGACCCTAAAATCCTGATGACCAAGTCAGCCCTTCTACAACCCCTGGCCCAGCTCTCCTGTGAGCGGTGATGGTACCTCATCTCCCTCTCAGGACCTGCCTGGCCCTTGCCAGCTCCTCAGAATGTCCCAGGTCCCAGGGAGAATGTGATCCTTGGAGAGGGAGAGAGGTGGCATGCTTGGGCCATTCCAAGCCAGAACCATCATCCCGGCTCAGCCTGCCCCCTGCCCCCTGCCCCGTGTCTGTAGCCAGGCCCAGCCAGAACCAGCACTATTTATTCCTCACTGAGCATGTGTACCTGGAAGTCATGAGAATGAACAAAGGGGATTTTCCCCCTGCAGATTAATCTCATTGTGAAATGCCCTGGATTCCATTTTTTTTTTAATTTAGTACAAATTCATGAAGCACCTACTACGTACAAAGCATCATTCTAGGAGCTGGGGATCCAAAGGCAGCCCCTGCCTTCAGGAAGCTGACATTCTTCTGGGGAGGTACACAAAGAATAGTTTCTGGAGGGGGCAAAGACAAACACTCGTCCTCATACCTGGTCCCCTTCCTTTAAAAAGCACCTTCAAAGGGCTTGGGGCGGGGTTGTGGGAAGGCGCTCACGTTGCCCTTCCCTAGGGCCTAAGTCTGCAGCTGGGATGACCAAAGCGGGCGTAAGCTGGCCATTCCAGGGCAGCCAAACCCCTGAGGTAGGAAGAAGGCCTGCGTCAGAGTTAGGAAGACCTGGCTTCTGCTGTCTCTGTCACCCTGGGAAAGTCCCTTCACCTCGGCGTCCTGGGCTACCCTCCAAGCCTAGGCCCAAATTGGCAGAGGAAGGCGGTCAGTAAATGTTAAGCGCCTCCTTTGTGCCAGGCGCTTCGCTAAGCGCTGGTCCAAATAGAAGAACCCACCTGGAGAATCACAAAGGGCGTCTTTCCCTCCCACCACGACCCCCAGTCAATGCCAGCCAGCAGACACTTAACTGAGTTGTGCTAGTGGTGAGGCTGCAGGGACAAAATGAAAAGCAGGCCCTGCCCTCCTGCAGCTTACGCTCTCCTGGAAGCAGAATACAACATGTAAACAGATCATTTACATGCCACCAACTGAGGGGATCAAAAACAGTCTTCCCATATGTATAGGTGAGGGTATGTGAGCAGAGCCTTGAAGGAAGTGGGGGATGCTGAGAGAGAGAGGGAGGGCATTTCAGGCATGGGCGTGGGGGGCCAAGGCAGAGATGGGAATGGGATGCCCCGCACACACACACACACACACACACACACACACACACACACACACAC